TTGCGGCGACTCCATTAATTTTCCAGAACAGCAATGTGATTCCAAATAGATTAGGCAACATATGTCACAAGTGTCTGTGAGGACATGAATATTTCAGTTCAGTGGCACAAATTAATGTGTCACTGCACTGACAGATTCGTACGCTCACACTCACTTGTGGCATTTGTCACCGAATCTATTTGGAAAACAGCCACAGAGCCGGTAGAAATGCGAGCACTTTATCACAAGATTTTGCCGCTCAAAAACATAGCAGTATCCCATGTGATAGAAAGGGAGAGAGAACTCGCCGTTTGATCCTTCAGTGTGTTATTTTCAAATCTTCGAAAAAAAAAACCATTCGACTGAGCGTCTGCAAGACACAACTTCAAGAAACAATCTGTTATCAACAACAAAACCTGCAGCAATCACCCAAACCAAATTGGCTGTGCACTGCAGAAATAAAGCAAAGCATGCGACAGTGTTCTTGAAACGCAACGATTTCAGATCTCACGCCCCGATGCCCCGCTACTCGAAATTTTGATTTTTTTTTTTTTTAACTGGGAGTATGCTCGGACAGCCAGCAATCTGACCAGCAGGCGATCACTGCTGAGCAGTCAGGACAGGCCATCTTAAGCAAAAGGATCTAGCGATAGTTGTGATCAGTTAACGGTTGCGTTCCCCTGACGCCAAGCACTACCACGGCAGTGCAAATGCGCCCGTTAAGGCTTAGCAATATGTTTGATGAAAAAATTACAAGATGCAAATGAGTGAAATTGCGCAGCTTGGCGCAGATCTATGGCGTCCTGCCAGGCAGCTTCCATCAACATTGCGCATCGACAAACTTTTAGCTCACAAAGGCAATAATGTGAAATTTAAGGCAGCTGACTTTACGTTTTTGCTGGAACTCACAGATCACTTAGGCCACTGCTTCCTTCGGTGTCTCAAACGGAGTTTCCAGCAGTAATTCACCGCAGTCCACGATTTTAACATCTTCTTTTGGTCGGTCACCGGGTCCTGTTGAGGTATTTTCAATTTTCCTAACAACATCCATTCCCTCCAGCACTTTTCCAAAAACAACATGACGGCCATCCAGCCACGTCGTTTTTACCTGCAACTTTTTAATACTGGCAACTTTTACACTAATGCTCATTATGTACTATTTTACGTGTGCTTTCTTTTACCCTACCAGTATGCCTTAGCGAACGAAATAGATCATTCTACTGCTCAAGCGGTAAACTCTTTCAATCGAAAAAATCATAAACATTCGACGAAGTGCTAAAATCTGACCGTAGTAATGAAAAACTGCGA